AGGAGCTGTGCTGACATGTTGGTGAGACCTCACTGGCACTCAGGATCACAGCAAGAGGCTGAGACCAAAGCCCCGTTGGCAGTGTGGCACATGTGCCAGGTAGGGCTGTGCGAGGCTTCGGACAGAGCTTCAGATCCAGAGAAGCTTTGGAGGCTTCTGGATCCGAAGCAGCACATCCGGGTCGAAGCGTTGCCTTGTTCGACTTCCTGAAGCGGTTAGGAGCCGCCTAGGAGATCCGGTCATAGGGTATAATGGGGAAACAATAAAATATCTATAACTTTGTTGTTTTTTGTCTGATTTGGATGACATTTTCAGGAATGGTAGACTCTGCAGAGAGAATAAGGCCTACCGAGTTTCAAGAAGATCGGTTTAGGGGCTTGGGGGGGAAAGCACACCAAATTCTTGAAAGCAAAACTCATGTCACATCTAGACGTTACAATATAGCAGGGTGAATACTGCAGGGCTGGTAGCTCTTACTGAGGCCACAAAGCCTGCCAGGTTTCAAGAAGATCGGTGGAGGGGTTTGGGGGGAACTGCCCCTCAAGCTGAGGACAAGCAAAACTGGTGCCATGGGTGTTTGTGGGACTGACTGTGTCTGTCTTGGGGCAGGGAGGGGAGACACTGCTGCAGGCCTGGCTGCTAAGCTGCTGTGTTCCCAGTTACCAATCAATCAATCAATCAATCAATCGTGATTCAGGCAGGGACCAGGGACTCAGGGACCAGCTCAATACACAGGATCTAGCTACTACATAAAGACTTAACGAGCATCAATTAGCACCTAAAAAAACAGGCTAAGGAGAGAAAAGAATCAATACAGAGAATCAACTGCCCCAAGACAGAGACAGTCTTGGCAGGAGTTTTGCCGGTCAGCAGCTAGGGATGCAGGGCCCCAGGACCCCCCTGCACCAATCTCCTCCACAGCTGGCAGGCGTCACAGCAGGGGCCACCATCCCTGCAGCTGTCACCCCGCTGCGCCTTAACAGACGCAGTGTCACCCATGGCACGAGTTTTGCTTGTCCGCAGCTTGAGGGGCAGTTCCCCCCAAACGCCTGCACTTATCTCCTTGAAAACTGGCAGGCTTTGTGGCCTCAGTAAGAGCTGCCAGCCCTGCAGTTTTGACCCCCCTGTGGTGTGACACACAGCCGTGACATGAGTTTGGCTTTCAAGAATTTGGGGTACAGTTCCCCCCAAACCTCTGCACTGATACTCTTGAAACTTGGCACATTTCATGCTCTCAGCAGAGGCTACCATCCCTGCATGTTTCATCCAAATCGGACAAGAAACAACAAAGTTATAGATACTTCATTGATTCCCCATTATACCCTATGGCCGGATCTCCGAGGCAGCTCTGAAGCTTCGTAGCCGCTTCGGCTGGATCAAGGAGGAGACCTGGTCCAGAGCTCTGGATCAGATCGCAGCCATCTGAAGCAGTCAGATCTGAAGCCGGATAGGATCGCTGCCAACTCGCACAGACCTAATGTGCAGTGACTTCTCTTCACTGTGCATGCACCATCCTACCGAAGGAGATGCAACCACATCCCTATCACTGTGATCCCGGAGCCACCCAAAGCCCAAGACATAATTAAAAGCTGCTGCTGGGGTGTGTAAAAGGAACATGGTCTTTCTTTTTAACATTGTCTGTCAAGCTAGATGACCCAGGCAGACCCAGTCACTTCCTGGCCTGGCTGCAAGCAGTGCTGTGAAATGGGAGGTAGTAGGAAGGTGAAGATGCCAGCTGTTTTGGTCTATGGGGAAGTGCACCCCAGAACAAAGTGATTTCAGAGGGCAGTCATGGTTGAGAACCCATAAAAGAGCATAGGAATTGGGACCAGACAGGGCCTGCCAGTCCACTGCTTTGGCAGGCAACAATTTACCCATAGATTCCTAGAAGTCATCCATTCCAAACCCTTACGTGCTGCAGCTACAAGACACAAAACCAAAGACACTGAGAATACCTTTCAAAATGCCACAGGTGAAAAGCAGAAAAGATGAGGCCACTGCCAGTGTCCTGCCATTGCAATGATAGAGAAGCAATGGATTAATATATGGTCAGATGATTCCAGGAAGACCATGCCCCATGCTGTAGAGGAACACAAAAGCTTGCAAGGGAACACTGTCCCTCTTACTGGGAGGAAGCAGGAGCAGGTTACAGTAGGCAGGGTGGAGAAATGC